TGGAAGCACAGGTGTAAGTGACAAGCAGTGGGAGATGAGGGCCACGGATCACAGCCATCGGTTCTCTGGTGCAGTGCTGCCGTCTGTGATCAAGTTTTGTATGAACTATTTTCCTGGCAATTGCCAGGTTTTTATTTGCTCGGATTTATCGCCAATGAGGGTAACTTTGAATGGAACAACAAACTTCCCATCAAACAGTTAATCTTTTTGTTGCTCTGAAGTCCCTGTTTGGGGACATTTCTCTTCTCACATCAGCAGTCACAGCCTCACCTCGCTGCTGACTGCCCTGACTTTTCAGATCTACTCACTTTGAACTCATCAGTTGCTCTGCACCAGTTCTTCTTTGCAAATGCTCAGAATCACTCTTTATCTTACAAGTCATGCATTTTTGTGGCTTTCGAACTGATCTAAATGTAGAATTCTACTGACTACATTAGAGTGGAGGAAGAGTCACTTTAAAAAGAGAAGCTGTTTTATTCAGGTGTCTACTTATGCTAAAAAAAAAAGAGAAAGTCCCACACAAAATGGTTTTTAAAATATACACAACCTCCGCCTAACTAAGCACAGAATATCCATCTATTTTTTTGCCTTAATGGATTCATTTATCCAAAATGTTAAAAGGCAAATAGATACAGAAAACAGGAATATCAAGCCAAGGTGCAATTAAAAACTTAAATAACCAGCCAGGTAATTGCTAACTTTCAAGAAAGAGATATCACTTAAAATGCAAGAGCATCCATTGAAACATTACACTAAGGTCCCAATTCAGCAAGGTAAGTGCCTTGTACTTAGCATGGGCTTAACTCTAAGCATGGCATCAGTCCCACTGAAGTCAATGCCCTTTTGCATTCTGAAGCCCAGGGGAATACTGATGTGCCTACATTCAGTCTCTTGCTGAATTGGGTCCTGGATCCAGAGGAGACGCATGAGGAGTAATGACGCAGATTCATCTAGATCTACTCACCCCCGCCCCCAGGTGCAAATCAATGTGACTTGCCCACAGCGGAGCCGGAAGGCATATGGTAATGCAGACTTGCAAAAACGTCAAGGAAATAAAACCTACCAGCTCCAGCAAAATTTTGCTATCCGAGGCTTACCAGAAACGCCAACGCACACAGCACTCCCACCCCGCACACTGATACAGATGTAGACACACACCCCCGGACAGACACACAGACACACCCTTCAGACCACTGGATGGACAGAGGGACACACACACCCATCAAATCCTTGGGTGGACAAAGGGGGTCACACACCCCAGTCAGATCCCTGGGTGGACAGAAGGGCACACGCCCATCAGACTCCTGGGTGGACAGAGGGATGGACACACACACACACAAATGCACGCACACTTGTCAGACCCCTGGGCGGACAGAGGGGAGACAGACACACTTCACTCCAAACTTTATCTCATTCTCTCACATATCGTTCATGCCAGACACTCACTCTCTCCCACATGAGACAACCACGCCACCCTGCCATTCCATCACTGCTCACCCCTCCCCGCATGTCAGACACCCCAACTTTCCCTCATTCGTCCCCCACGTACCCATAATGCCGTGCCCCCTCCATTTCCTCACACCCCCAGCTCATCAGTTCTCTGGTCTCTTCCACCTTAGCTGCACAAATCAGTTTTCTGCTTCCTCTCACCCAAAACTGTTAGCTCTTCAGTGCGAGAGCAGCCATCTCTGCCCTAGCTGGGCAGGGGCCTCCCTTCTGCTCCTCAGAGCTCACAAACAGTGCCAGCTCCCCAGTCCCTAGGGAGGCACTGGTGTTCTACTAGGACTGCTGGGATCTTTGGCTCCTGCCCATCCTAGGTCTTGGGAAGGGGCCTCTGCTGCTGGGTGGGAGACGGGTATAAGGCCAGTTTTAGGAGCAGCTGGTACAGCAGGAGTGCTCTAGGTCTGGCCTCAGCTGGTGTCAAGTGAAGACGACACAGGCACAGAGAACCCAGTAAATTTAACTCCTGCTCTCCCTCAACCAAGAGGAGCAAGGCGCCTGGACAACTCAGTCAGGGCCTTTACAACTCCCTCTCCCTTCTCCATGCTGCTGCCCCTAGCCAGGTAGAGTGGTGCACCCCCTGCAGGCCTAACTGTGCACCGCACCCTCATGGAGAAAGCTGCAGCATGGCTTACACTCCAGTGGGATGTTTATGCAACGAAAACCTGAAGGCCTAGAAACATGGGGCCTGGCTCAACTCCAATTCACTTCAGCAGAACTCCACTGAAATCAACAGACTGACGGAGAAACCCTGGAACAGGGAGACTTCCACACGGGGAAAGACCTCGCCAAAAACTTTAAAGGATTCGCCTTTCCTCTGTTGTACACAGTTATCCAGACAGTGTGTGACCATCACCCACCAGCGCTCATTGTATTTAAGTGTCTCTGAGGTTAGACAGGGAGGGCTCTGGTGGTTTCCATTGAGGTTTAGCTGCCAGCGCTTTGCTGGCAGCAGGCCCGCCGACAGCAATTCCAGGCCCCAGGGCAGAACAGTCAATGGGCACGGCCAGGGCTTCCACATAACCGCCCGGCTGCCTTCACCACTGCCGGTACCACCCTGCGCATGACTAGGAGCCCTGTGGCCGCCCGGATGATTTAAAAGGGCCCGGGGCTCCCGCCGCCACTGCCATGGGCCCTTTTAAATCACCCGGGCCCCTGGGCAATTGCTCTTCCCTCCCCCCGAAACAGGCCTGGCTGGCAGCAACAATTCGAGGAGAAAAACGCCACATTCTTCTCTCCCTGCTGTGGCACCTGACACTTCAGAGGCGCCTGGGCTGCTCTGACATTTTACTTTTAATTTTAAAATTGATTTGGGACCGATTCAAACTTTTCAGCATTTAATTCATTCCTTTTTGAAAAAATTAATTTGCTCAGCACCAAGACAGTCCTTCATAATACAAGCTACCAGGCCTGCTCCTCGGCTGGTGTCAATTGGTGTAGCCCCAGTGACACAGCAATCGAGTTGTGCTGATTTATGCTAGTTGAGGATCTGACCCATCCCATGTGAAACAAAGCAATCAGACTGTACCTGGGATTCCCATCATGTAATATGGCCAGGCTTTGAGGGACAGATTATCCAGGCACAGCTTATGGGAATAGTAGGACCTCAAGATCATGTGGAAAACTTTGCTAGACAAGCATGAGTAAGCCAGGCATTGCAAGAGGAAGGAAAGGGGAAAAGGAACCAGGTGCTAGCACTAGGAGCTGCTCAGCTGGCAACAGCACAAGCAGCCGGGCTGGAGGAAGCAGGTGGGGAGAACGGCGGGGGAGAAGGACATGAGAGGCAGCTGGAAGCAAGGCTCACAGGCTAGAGAGACAGACTTGCGCTGGCGTGGCTTGGGCTAGTGCGCTCAAAACAGCTGTGGGACTTTGGCACTGCAGCTTAGGTGGAGACTTGGACTGGCCACCCAAGCTCAAGCCTAGGGGGGCAGTGAGCCTGAGCCTCTGCCTCTGTCCGCACAACTGTTTTTAGCCTGCTAGTGCAAGTCTGTCTACCCAGGCTGGGGGCTTGCTCCCAGCTGCAACACAGACATACCCACAGGTACCCACAGGCAGAAAGGGCTTCACTGGCTTCCCCTCCCCACTCATTACACAATGGAAGTATGGAGACCCATGATGCCCCGAGATGATCGGATGAAGTTACTCATACCTATGTGTAGCAGAGTGAAGTCCCTCACCCTGGATTCCTCTCTGCAAACAGTCCTCTCACACTCCCATGACAAGTTCAACCCTGTGTGCTTCATTTACAAGGTGCTATATGAGGGCTTGTTCCCCACAACATGAGGCTTTTCCCTTCTCCCCAGACACATGATGGGGGGGAAGAGATCTCACCTCCTGAAGATCCTGGGTTTCTCTGGCCCTGCCTTCCAGCCTCCCCATTCCTGTCTCTCCAGTAACTGTCCTCTGATGAGAAGCTGAATCACCCACCCTCTTTATTGGTTAATTACCTCATTTATTTGCCCCATGCGGGAATGCTCACCACATGCCCAGAGTGGTGAGTCAGCCTGTGGCTACTCACACTGAGCTTTATCCACTGAGGAAAGTTGCAGGAACCTATCAGTGGTATGAATTTAAATTTCCTTTCAATCGTGCTAGATTTAAAAGACAATTCAGAACTTCCTGGGTTTCTGAGCTCCCAAAATAGTCAAACCTCTGAAAGGAGAGAAATTCACAGTTAAGGCAGCCAAATCCCCTTAACTCTGCCCCTGTGGTGAAAGCAACCTCGCAACTTTCTTCCTTGCACGTGGCATATGGAAAATGTCCATCTCAGAACACATGGCTGTGTAGTTTGTTTCACACCCACATCTCTGGAACAAAGCAGGATGATGTGTTACCTAACCAAGTGCTCTTTGCATGGCCTAGGCACATGAGCTCTTTAGACACGGAGCTAGTGTGTCGCTGTACAGAGGACATGTGACTCACTAGCTGGCATACACATGAGGTCACAGAGCCCTCTCCTGTGCAGTACATGGAAAAAAGTGTTAGATTTTTAGAATGCCACTGATCCCCTCAGAACTTTGTCTGATCTCTTCAAATTTGATGGAAGGATCCCAGATGGGACCCAAATACAACCTCTCAATTTGGAGACACATGCAGCTTTTGGGGGGATTTTAAATGGAGGCCAAACATCAGGCTCATCCGTTGAAACCTCAGTTAACCGTGGAGCAGGTACCAGCACCATAATGGGGGCTACAAGGCCAACGCAATCAGTCACACCAGGGCTTAGGGAATCGTTCTCCAACTATGTTTGGGTGAGACAAGGATCAGTTCTGTGCAAACTGCAGAGCTGCCTCATGCAAGGAGAGCTATTGTCATGTGGCTTTGGACCCCCTTTCATGCCACTCCTGTTTGCTAACAGAAGGATCAAACCATTACTCTACTGGAACAAGAAACTTCACTTAGGTTTAAGAATGACTTTCCTCGCCTTAGAGCCAGTCCTGCTCCCGCTGAGCTATGAAATCCCCTCCCCTCAAACAAATGCAATTCTCAAAGTCACCAACCAGTAGGGATCAGGGTGTCATCCACAGGCAAGTAAGAGTCTGCTTCTATGGAGACCATATGGTTGTAGATATCATGTGATCCCTAGGAGACAATGAAAGAAATGTTTACACTTACACTGTACCCCTTACATGTGTCCAGGTACCTGTGCAGGGTGTTTTCCACTGGCAGTTCTCATACCACATGGACACTGACCACAAACTCCAGCAGAGCCCATGTCGCTGGATTGCAGCGTTCAAACGTTAGTGACTCTGAGCTTCCCTATAACTTGCACAGTCTCCACGTTACCCAGTAAGCAGAGAGAGGCAAAAGCAACCCTCATAATCCCAAGGCTTTAATCCCACTCCACTGCTTGATACACTCACAGCCTAATCAATGTTCTATACACAGTCAAGAACAGACTACTTGTCAGAATGACAGCTTGTATGTACTGGTACAGTGGGCATGCTGAAAAGCTTGCCAACTGTACTGAGCTGGAAGTTTCCGCACTCACCTCTGTCTGCCTGTCCTGCACTTCCTTATTGCTTTTCCCCCAGTGCACACAGGAAAGTTACTAGGGAAGGTCCCATATAAAACCTAAGGTAGACACTTTCTTGGGGCCAGATCCTCAGAGGTATTTAGGTACCTAACTCCCACTGGGGTTTTTTTTGAGGATCTGGGTCTTTGACTGAAAGCTCTCTGGTACAAGGACTGTCTTTTTGTTCTGTGTTTGTACGTTAAAAAAATTGCGCAAAAAAAAAAAAGCTAAGATGCAGGCAATTGTGGCTAAATAAGTTAATGCTTTTGCTAAACAAAAGCATAAGTGTAAAAAAATAAAAGTAACTGTTAAAATTGAAAAAAAAAAAACAATCCCCCAAATCCTTTCCCATATCAGGCCAATCCTCATATTGCTGAAACCATTACATCTTTGCTGCAACAAAAAATCATCCATAAGTATTCTTCAGTAAGCAATTCTCTAATTTGGCTAGTACAAAAACCAAATGGGTCATGGCATTTTACTATTAATTATCAAAAATTAAATCAAGTAATTCTAGCTTGTGCAGCTGTTGTATCCAAAATGCCTAACCCAATTAAATCTGTAAATCCCAAAGCACATTCTGTCTAGGTTTTACAAACCATCTGTTTTATTTCAGTATGTAAATAACATTTGTTTAGCAACAAAAACTCAAAAAACAAACAAACCGAAAGTCCCTAAATAAGCTTTTACAAATCATCAAAAAAGCAAAACTAAAGTGTAACCCCGCAAAGGCACTAAAGTAGATCAGAAGGTGTCAGGGTCACGAATGTTGTGCTGTGGTTGGCAGTCTTTGTTCTAGAGGGCAAAAGTCCTTCTGGGCTGGAGAAGGAAGGTTTTCTTCTCTTGTGGTGGGGATTCTGTGTAAGTATGGGTCTGATCCTGCTTCCACTGAAGCGAATGGCAACCTGCAAACTGCCTCCCCCCCCCAACTGAAATAGGAGCAAGATCAAGCCCTTAAATATGTGTGTCACTTTCTAATCAGCGTAACAACTTCTCACACAGAGACACACACACTGCAGGTGTTATGTCTGCTCCATAAAATGTGATTATGCTGCAAATTATATTTGTTTACTTTGCCTTATCATTAACCAATTAACTATACACTGATGATTACACTGCAGTTGTTAAAACAATGGCATTGATATAGTTAAATTACGCAGACATTCTAAAATATCTCTTTCTATCTAGCATGTTTCAAAGAGCCTTGTTATCTAAGTGTAAGAATGTAACAATGCTATCAGATGCTATCCTCACTGCACAGCAGTACTTGGGAGAATTATTTTCTATACCTTTGGCTTCATGCCTGATTATAAATGTAATGAGAGCAAAATGTAATTGAGAAGCAGTGTGGTCCACATGGCAGGGCACGGTGACTCAAGAGACATGGGCTCTACTCCCATCTCTGCTGTGACTTGTTGGGTGACTTTAGACAATTCACTTTCCCTTTCTATGCCTTTGTTTTTCTCTCCTTCCAGCTGTTTTGTGTCTTGTCTAGTTAGACTGTGAGCCAGGACTCTCTCACTACATTTGTCTACAGCTCCTAGTGTGGGGGCCCTGATCTCAGCCGGGGCTCAAGGCACTAGTAGAATGAGGTCAGACCAAGGGATGTGTCAGCACAAAGTGAAGTACCCATAACACTGGGATACACTTGCATCACTGAAACAGAGGTTATTTAACGCTTTGTTAGCTGGTTGGGTTGTTCTGGGTCTCCTGGCCCAGAAACAATGGGGAATAGAAAAGAGCCATTTTCCCAAAAGCCATGAGTGGTGGTGACCCCAACAAGCTTCATTTTCTCTCAGAGTCAGGGAGTTTAAGGCCAGAAAAGACCAGGTGCTCATCCAGTCTGCTCTGTACATCACAGGCCACTGTCCTGTACGCAGTCCCTTCTGCACTTGCTTGGGAATCCAAACAGACTGTAAGAGTCACCGTAGCTTCTCCTGGTGCTAAATTAACTTCCCTGAGCAGGGCATGTCCCTAATTGCCCTGAACCCCCTTGGACTGGGCTTTTCTGACCACCCACACCACAAATAGCCCCAGCGTCTCCCTCCTTCATTCTATCCCAACTTGCACATGGCTCTTGGTTCCCCTCCCCTCACGATGTATTAAAGTATTAGTTGTTCCGATGTTATAGCAAGCAGAGTAAGATCACTGGACAACGTAGCTCATGAGAGAGTTACAAGGCATTTAGGTTAGTGAGATTAATTCAGTCATGCTTCCAAAGCATGAGAGGTACCAAGGATGATTATCTTACCTGGCCTGCTAGATTGAAGTAGGCATGGTTTGTCAGGCTAATAGGAGTAGTGCTGCTGCTTTGAGCTCGGTAGTTTATTGCTAGTTCCCCACCATCGAGCGTGTAGGTCACCCAGACTTTTAGTTCCCCAGGATACCCTTCCTCACCATCTGGACTCGTTCTGGAGAAGCGTATGCCATTTAGCAGCACCTCTGGGGTCCAGAGAACCTGCAACAACAATTTTGTTGACATTAATTTCATTTCTCTACCCCCGTGGAAAACCACATGCAAGATACTTGACATGGCTCCATTTCCGGAGACAAACACATTTCTCAGAATTCTTGTTTACAGCCGCAGCGACATAGAAACCATTGTTAGACAGTAAGCTTCTTGGGGCAGGGGCCTTTTTTGTTCTGTGCTTGTACAGTGCCTACCACAATAAGGTCCTGATCCATGACTGAGGCTCCTAAGTGACACAGTAATATCAATCATAATATTTTACTGAGTAACACTCTTCTCTCATGCTACATGTTGGATTTAACACAGGAAGAAGAAGCTGCCAACCAGTATTATTTCCCACTTCCTCAAGGTCCTGTATATTTCAGATACATAATCTAAAAACAAATGTATAGACTGCATTTTATCTAGAGGTCCTACAGTCTACATTCAGGGATCACTTAGCCCAATCTTGGGGTGGGAGCTCCTCAGCTGCACAGTTTAAAATAGGAAGTGAAAACAAACACTGTATCCAACTGAAATGACTAGGAGAAGTTGGAGGAACAGAACAACTAAAGCTGGAGTCCAATCAGAGCACTAGGGATAACTCTCAAAACCTCTAATAAGTGTCACAGGATCTTTAGGGTACATCTACACTGGAGAAAAAACACACAGCAGCGAGTCTCAGAGCCCAGGTAAACTGACTCGGGCTCACGGGGCTAAGGCAAGGAGGCTAAAAACAGACATGTAGATATTTCTGCTCGGGCTGGAGCTCAGGCTCGGAGACTCACACACACCCCTGCTAGGTTTCAGAGCCCAGGTTCCAGCCCAAGATGCAACGGTCCACCTTGCTATTTCAGCGATGCAGCATGAGCCCCACAAGCTAAGTCAGTTGACCTGCACTCAGACTTTCTGCCATGGGTCTTTTTTTGCAGTGTAGACATACCCAGAATGACCACAAACAGTTAGGATCACATCAGAAGGTGCCATGCTCCCACGGCACCATGCGAAAGCACGTGTACGTGACCAACACAGAGCAAGGAATATCATCTGTGCTGAAGCACGTCCCTTGGAGTCACAGTTAGGCCCAATCCTGCTTAGCTTGTGAGATGCAATGTACTCACAGCAAGAGGCTCCAAGTCACATGTATGTTGCTTACCCCTTTCTTCCTCTTTTCCTTGCTTTCTTCTTTTACAGCACCATCAAGCTGAGCTAGAGAGGCAGCACTGCAGCAAGCTTTCCGAAGCTGCATTGAGATGAGAACTCCGGCACGCCACGTCACATCTCTGTGTGCCTCTCTTTACCTACCCTTACACCAGGGATAATAAATACTTACCTGCCTTACAGTGCTATCATAAGTATTAATTCATTCACACTTGGACAGTGCTTTGAGCTCCATGGCTCTAAAAGGGGAAATCATAGACAAATTATAATCGTATGTATTTGCTTTCTGGGTTTGGGTCAGGATGGCACAGACTCTGGGATTTCCCCAGCTCTCTGGACACACAGACAGGATCAATAACTAGTTGAATCGCAGTATTCTCATACCACCTAGAGTGTCATCCTTCAAGTTCCCTAGTCAGCTTCCTTCTAATTGGAATGAAGTTACATCAGCCTGTTCTCTATTTGCCATGGCTGAATGGCCCTTCACATGCTCTTCTCTTTGCAGATGTGCGTGGTCTTGACCCAGACATGGAAATCAAATAATCAGGTCAACTGTAATGTGCCTTTCTGCAGGTGGGACTGCTACAACTGCTGACCCTGGGTTCTAAGCAGCTATACCACAGCAAGCATACAGAGAAGGAAGGAGATAGACAAATCTAGCTAGTGAGGAAATGAGAGTCCAATGTCACAGAGTGTAAAAATAGCTGCTGCAGTCAGTGGCTACTAACGCCTTGTCAGACGGCAAGGATGTAATTTTATGTAATCCTGACCTATTTCATATAACTCAGACCAGGAAAGCAAGATTAGTTTCTTACCAGCTTTCTGGAGTGCCAAACATTATTTATCATGCGGTCTGGGTGGTAGGAGATGTAGTCACAAAAATTACTGTTACTCTCTCCCTTCTCCCAGCTGTCAGTTTAACAACAGCACAGGACATTGTGTCCTGCCTGCGAGGCTGAATTTCTGTCCTGAAATCTCTTCTTTACTCTTTAAAATAATCTTCAGAGAACGTTTAAAAAAAAGATACCCTACATGTTTAGAATAAGTACTACTGCATAATTACTATTGCCGCTAAGACTTCAGTGATGACATTTTCATTGTGCAGTAGGAGAAACCGTAGGAAAAAATGTTATGCATTTTTGGCCCACATCCTTCACTGATGTAAATGTGTAGTTCAGTGGAATTATGCTGATTTACCCCAGCTGAGGATCTGGCCTTTGGTTATACTGCGACTGCTTTGATAACATGACCATTTGGTAACATGACATCTATTGCACTGTGGTAACAGCACTTCTTGGGTGAGTAAAGGCCTTCCTATTAGAGCCTGTACATACACACTAACTAGCTGAAGGGGAGATCTCATTGAAGTGACTATTCAAAGAAACATCATTAAGGTTTTCTGGCCCCCAAAATCAGCATACTATTCCCGCAAAAACTGACAATTTTTGTTGAACATTGCCCCCCAGGATTAAAAGAAAAGCACAAGCACACAAAACCCCACCAGCCATTAACAGCCATCCAAGCCCAGAATAGCAGCTTCATGGACAAAAACAACTGTCTGAGAGGATTTGCTATTAAATGTACATATATTTCTACTTCATTTTTTAAATTAAATATTTGTTTTTTTTCCCATCCATGAAGGCTCTAAGGCAACCGGAGCCCCACAGGTGCAGGAACTACGGGTGCAGAGGGTGCTGCAGCACCCCCAGGTTTTGCACAGGGTCTCAGCTGCCGGCCCCACACCCAGGGGCTCTGCTGCTGGCCCCAGTCCCGGCCGCTGGTCCCATACCTGGAGTCTCGGCCGCCAACCAGGGGTCCCAGCTGCCAGGCCCCACGCCTGGCCGCCTGGCCCGGCACCCAGGATCCAGGCGGCCAGCCCCATGGCTGGGGCTCTGCTCCTGACCCTGGCCCGGGATTCCGCACCCATCCCCAGCTGTGACCCCAGCCTCTGCCCCCTTACCCTGTCTGCATCCCTCGCTCCTGAAGCCACAGCCCTGCTTCTGGCCCCAGCTTGAGGGGGTGGTGAGGGGCACAGACATGGGTAAGGGGGGGGCGCAGCTCAGCGCCCCCACTCTAAAAACTGTTCCAGCACCACTGTGACGCCCTAGGGAAATTGGGCTTGATCCTAAGAGGTGCTGAGTACTCTATTCCTGATTTAGCCAGGCACTTCAGCACATACTTAACTTCAAGCATATAAGTCGTCCTGCTGAATTCAATGGGACAGCTCCTGTGCTTGAAGTTAAGCTGGTGCTTATGGACTTTGCAGGATCAGGACCAGAGTGCTGGGCACCCTGCAGGATCAAGCCTCTAATGACATCCCAAAAGACAAGAGGCTGGACCTGAGTGATTGAGGTCATGTGTATATCGGAAAATGATACTATTTGTATTGCCGCTGCACCTAGGAGCCCTAGTGATAGACCAGGACTCCACTGTGCCAGGCACTGCACAAACACAGAACAAAAAGACAGTCTCTGCCGCAAGGGAGCTTACAGTCCAAGTTTTGTATACTTATCATTTTTAGAAACGGAACAAAATACATATACAGATAACAAAACAAGGTTGTGATCAAACACAAATGGGTCTTTTAAAAGGCAGCCAATACAGGTTACAAAACAGCTGTGTTGATACTTGTATGGGAAGTATAGTAATAATGGCAAAGAGTGTTTTACAAAATGGGGATACCTGGCATTAAACTTTATCTTGATCTTTAAACGTGGGTGCTCAATGCAAAGCTGCTAACTCCTACACTTTGGAGGACATGAGCCCGCTCTGAGAGCAGACGTTGTTAATGCTATACACAGTTATTTCTGTAACTGATTGAAAAGAACAGAGCCAACAACATTTGTAAGTGTGAAAAAAATGGGTTTCATAGAAAATATTTGGAAGATATTTCAGGAAAATATCTCAAACTTGTAATAAAGACCGTTCATCTCTCCAAACAGAAAGAACATAATGCTATACAGTAACCTGCCTGGGAACCTGGGAATCAGATGACTTCATGCTGACCACAGCACTGCGGCCAGCTAGATGACAAGTGGTTCTGCTCAACACCACTCAGCTAGTCATGGCTAACAGCTATTACACTGCTGACACATCCAGTCCTTGTCTACTCTAGCCACAGAGGTCAGCACTCTTAACTTGAGCACACCCAATTGAGTTTAAACCCTGGACAGTTTTCAAATGTAGACAAGTACTGGGAAAGAGACTTACACTGTTTAAAACTCCTTATTTAGTTTTTTTTAGAATCCATTTGACTCCAGTGTATAATTAGTATTTGGGATAAAAGATGTCTTTGCTAAAATTAAAACTGAAGAGGTCCCTGCTGTGGCAAGGGGAGCAAGGGGAAACAGAGCCACAGGGAGGAGAAATGGCTTGCCACAGTAACCCAGCAGGTAAAGTCCAGCCCCAGACCAGCTGTAGTGGCCAAGTCTGCAGCAGACAATATTTCTAATTAGGGGCAGCTTACCAGCTGTAAAAGCTGCTTGGTGCAAATTGCAGGGACTGGGTGTTTTAACTGTATAGAGCTGAAGGATCATTGTAAAAGAAGGAGATATTAGTGTGATAAGGAAGCCATTTGGAAAGAGTGTCAACTTTCAAGGTACAGAAAGCTTGTCCTCAAACATCAATAACACAGGGATAAAGCTACTAAAATCAACCTCTTGCTTTAACAGGATGCTCCTGATTGAAAACAAGGGAGATTAGAATCAGTTTGACCATGATCAGATTTACCTTGTCAAACCCTTTGTTCCCTCCATGCAGGCTGTTGGGTGGGTTGTTGAGGGCCAACTGATACTCTTTTCCTTCCACCGTGAATTTCCCATTAGCAATTCTGTTAGCAACTCGCCCAATTGTGGCTCCAAAGTAGGGGTGTTTGTTGACATAACCTAACAAAAATAAATGAGTCATCATTCAAAACGAAGTTCTAGTTTGACTGTGATCCCTAGAGCCAGGTGGATGGAGCTCAGAAAGTTGGGTTGGGTTGGGTGGGGTGGGGGTGGGAAAAACAGTCCTGGCAAAAAGACAAGGGTAGAAGGTGTCTGCAAGTCTCCATTTGTTTACTAATTTGAGTTCTAGAAGGCATCCCCAATGGCACATCTTGGAGGTGCATGCCCATTTCCATCACACCAAACAACTGCCCTGCACTCCTCGTGCCCTTCCAGAATGGGAGAGTTTCAGTCCTCAAAACGCATGGCTGCCGAACAAGGAACTATGGAGTTTAAGGTTCCTTTACAAGAACAGCCACCTAAACAAGATGTACATGTTAAAAAGCCAGGAAATGGAGAGCTAAGGTGACACTTCTCACCCAATGTAGCCACTTGGAGCACGAGGCTGATGCATTAGCCACAAGGCAATCCTTCCTGCTAAATACCATGGAGGTGAGGCGTTCTCTACGCAGATCTCAGCCAGGTGGTCACCTCCAAAACACAATGCTGTAAGTGGCTTGCTCAGCATCCCAGAGGCAGGCTGTGGGAGAGCCCAGGACAGACACTAGATCTCCTGAGCCCCCGTACACTGCACAGCCACAAGACCATCTTTTTGCTGCTTGCAGCCCCTGCCCTATTCACCATCAATATACGGACACTATGTTGCTGCCTAGGGCAAGCCAACTTGGCAGATTCACTTAAAAGGGCGGCATGGCTGAGGGGAGGAGCCTTGGGCCAGTCTTTAGAGACTGGGTCTATTCCTGGCTTTGGCTGAAAGGCCCTTGAGCAGCCGCTTATTTGCTAAATATGGGAAGGATGGTCATCTCCTCTCAGGACAGGGATATAGGCAGCCTGGGTTACTATTAAGAGCTATGAAATGCATAGAAATATTTCCCAGAGTCAGGGGAAGAAATTTTAATTCACAGTTTCTAGCTCCCAACTCAGTTCCCCTTCCCCTGTGGTATATTGTGTGAGAAGGTCTCCCTAACAATCACTCTCTGCTGCAAGAGATGAACCTGGCTCACAGCAGGTGAGCTCACAAAGCAAACTCCAATACTTGCAGGTATTCAAGCTAAAAAGTTCTTGGTGCTGATGCTAGGTCTCAACAAGGGTAGTGCAGTGAGGGGGCTTTGGGGGGATAGCGCCCCCTGTCGGGTCCATATCTGTGCATTATGAGAAGGCTGCCATTTAAAAAACAGGTCTTTTTCCTTTTGGGACGGGGGGGGGGAAGGGGATGAGGGGGTCTGTACTCTAGAGAACACGGTCATCCACTGTCACCAAATTCTCACCCCAGACTTTACCCAGACTCTGAACTGACAGGCCAATTTTTGAGCCACCCTAATGACACATGTGGATTTTAGAGCGGTTTGAAAATTAGAATCTACACAGAAACCAATTAGTGCTCTACCATAGTAACAAACGCACCCTATTAACCAGAGAAACCAAACCCATTCATCCAAATCTACTCCATTCCTTGGGCAAAAATCCAGATTAATACATGGTCTCTGCTCTGCTCTCAGATTCTCCATCGAGAATGGAAAGCAGTATTTGGCCTCCTACTTTCACGCAAATTTGTGAGATAACAAAAAGAAGGGAATGCATGAAATAAAAGCAATCTGATGTGTGTCTGCCAGGGAGCTGCCAGCAAGCCTGGAGTGTGTGTTCCCTTCTGGAGCTAAGCGAGCATTCGGAGTGCTTCTTCAGTATTCGGAAGAGGCGAGAACATGGTCCCAATGTGACAGCTGGGGCATTCTGCTCTCAGTGGTCACTCCATGGTGCTCCAAGAGGCTCATATAATTTGCCTTAAAAACAGGAAGAAAGCGCCTATTTGCAGTCAGGTGGTGACTGATCAGCTGCTTATTGCAGGACTGAGTGCACTCATGTGTGCTGTGTGCCTGGCTCAGATCTGTTTAGGGATACAATGACCTCAAGGCAGCCATTTCCCCGTCAAGCCTTATTTCATGGGCTTTCCAAAGACCCAGCTCAACGTAATGCAGAGTAACCCCTACTCTGAGGAATCCCATTCATTTCAGTGGCACTGCTCCATTGTAGTTCATGAGCAAGATGGGCAGAATCAGGAACTAAATGTTTTTCAGAACTAGATTCAGTGGAGTAACAGACAGGCCTGTTAGCTCCACTCTAGTAAGGCACTAGTCAGAAATGTCCACTCACATCCCTCGCTCCCAGAGCCCTGAACATACAGGCTTGTCCTCTGAGGCCTCTACCATCCACATTGCTGTCCCTCCTCTCCATACAAAGCACAACTGCTTGGATCACTTACCCTGCCTGCCCCCTCTTGAAGCCTCTTCACCTGTTCCCCTCTTTCTCCACATTGGGGTCAAGCTACTTGTCTTCACTTCACGGGTCTTCGTGACTCTGCACTCACTGCATGCCCACTCCCGCCTCTTGTCCACCAACCCCGCCTGCTCTGCTGAGCCAAGGTTGCCAGCCTCCTCCGCCCCCTTGTCAGTTCTCACACAGACCTTCGTGCCAGCATCCATACTGCCACCTGCACATGGAACACCCACCCTGAACTGATCCATAAGTCCCCAACCTCTCCATCCCCAGCATCCAGTTCTGCTGCTGCAGCCAGGGGCAGCCGGGGATTGACAACATTCACAGTGTTGTTAATTATCTGTATGACCCTAGTGCAGGGGTTGGCAACCTTTCAGAAGTGGTGTGCCGAGTCTTCATTTTCACTCTGAGTTAAGGTTTCGCGTGCCAGTAATACACTTTAACGTTTTTAGAATGTCTCTTTCTATAAGTCTATAATTAAACTATTGTTGTATGTAAAGTAAATAAAGCTTCATTTAAAATTAAATTAAAATGCAGAGCCCCCCGGACTGGTGGCCAAGACCCGGGCAGTGTGAGTGCCACTGAAAATCAGCTTGTGTGCCGCCTTTGGCACGCCTGCCATAGGTTGCCTACCCCTGCCCTAGTGCCTAGGAGCTCTCGCCATGGACCAGAACCATGCTAAGTGCTGTACAAACAAAACAAAAACATGGTCCCTTCCCCATTTTCAAGTTTCGCAAGCCTGACTCTGATCTCACTTGCATAGGTGTGTAAATCAGGGGCAACTCCAGTGCAACCGACAGAGAGACACTTGGTGCTAAGAGGTAAAGATTACATACTGGGCAAGGACTATGCCATTTTGTTGTTGTACACACCTAGCACAATTTATCTAAGGTTCTCCTATGGCTCCCATCACCATATCTGAGCACTTCACATGCTGTTGCATTTATTCTCACAACTCGACCATCAGGCAGGGCAGGGCGATTATCCCCTTCTACAGTTGGAGAACTGAGGCACAGAGAGGCTAAGTGACTTCCCCATGGTCACAAAAGGAGTTTGTGGCAGAGCAGGTAACTGAACCCAGGATCTCTTAAGTCCCAGCTTGGTGCCCTAACCATTTGACCATCCTCCTTCTCAAGGCTTCATTCTTGATTGGGGCCTCTAGCTGCTACAGTAATCAAAATTATTATAATGTATCTCATTGCCATAAGAATGACTCTACAGGATCAGGCCAACGGTCCATGTAGCCCAGTATCCTGTCCCTGACATTGGCCAGTGTCAGACGCTTCAGAGGGAATGCACAGAGCAGGGCAATTTTGAATGCTCCACCTCCATTGTCCAATCCCAGCTTCCGGCAGTTGGAGATTTAGGTACACCCAGAGTATGGGGTTACAACCTTGACCATCTGGACCTATTCTCCAGGAATTTATCTAATTCTTTTTTGAACCCAGTTATACTTCTGGCCTTCACATCATCCCCTGGCAACAAGTTCCATGGGATGACTGTGTGTTGTTTGAAAAAATACTTCCTTATGTTTACTTTAAACCTGCTGCCTATTAATTTCATTGGCAACTCCTGGTTCTTGTGTTATGTGAAGGGGTAAATAATTCTTCCTTATTCACTTTCTCCACAACAGTATGATTTTATAGACCTCTGTCATATCCCCCCTTAGTCATCTCTTTCCTAATTGTACAGTCCCAGATGCTGTGCTGTGATTGTCTTTGTTCTAAACATAAAAAGTCCTTCTGGACTGGGGAAGGAAATTTTTCTTCTCTTGTGGTGGAGATTCTGTGTAATATGGGTCTGATCCTGCTTCCACTGAAGCAAATGGCAACCTGCAAGTCCCCCTCTCCCCCCCTACACACACTGACTGAAATAGAAACCTCTCCTTTGCCTTGCCCATAGTCACTCACACCAGTGTGGGTGGATGGAACACAACACCACTGGGATATGGCAGTGTTTTGCACCCCTTGTGCACTACAGTAGAGGACTAAGCTGGGAGCAGGGCCATGGAGAACCAGGGGCCAGTGAGAGGTGCCTTAGAAAAGGATCAGAAAGAAAATAACCAAGAAGCTAGGTCAATGCATATTGTCTTTGAAAAAAATGGATTTAAACCCACCTTCCAAGCGATCAAAGCCCAGGACAATGTCAGAGAGGTTCCCATCCCTGCCTTTGGTTTCCAGTGCAGTGATTATACAGCCTAAGGAGATAATCTCCACTTGAACTCTGTCTGATTTCAGCAGGAACTTTTCAACAGCCCCTCCTCCTCCCTTCTGGGGCAAGTGTCCAAACACCTCTCTGGTCACCTCTGTCATTTCTCCCCACAGCTGGATGTCTCTGGAAAACAAGAGAGAAACCACAACACCAAGGTAAGCAGCCGGCTGAGGACGGGAAATCCGGAAAGCAGAGGCAGCAGCAAGAAAACACACTGCAAACAGGACAGAGCTTGGAGCCAGGAAATCACATGATCCTCCCCCAAGCGGGCCAAGCCAGAACAGACAGGGATAGACTGTCCCGTACGTTTTCCTGGCCCCTCTCTGAAACAGGGAGGCCAGCCAATATTCTGCTAAACGAAAACTAAGCTGCAACCTCATCTACAGCGCGACTATCAGCTGCTCTATCCCATTTCAGCAAGCAGTTAAACACTACGGGGTCCAGCATGCAATGCTGGTTTTGATATAACATGAGCAACCAGCCATTCAACTCCAGATGGAGGATTGCATGCTGGGATATGTAGTTCACACTGCTGGCACCAAGAGGGGGAGCGCTGTAGGCTGTGGCCTGTAGTTTTGAGAAATCTGAGCTGGAATAAAAGAGAAGAGAGACTTTCAAAATGCAGGATTGCCAACCCCCGGGGTTCAAAAAGCTGGAGTCAGACCCTCAAAATCACCAGACTGGCTTAAAAATCATGAGATTTTACAAAATAATACATTGTGGGCTCATTTTATTTGCCTTCTGGCATTTGAGTTTTTAGGATACACTCAGATCACATTTCCAAGTTTTTTTCTACAATCAGGAGGACTAGAAATAGGATTACCATACGTCTGGTTTTTCCCGGACATGTCCAGCTTTTCGGCAATCAAACCCCCGTCCGGGGGGGAATTGCCAAAAAGCCGAACATGTCCAGGAAAAATACCGGCCGGGCACTTCCTCTCCCGCGGCTGCTCTGCTCCTCCCCTGACTCAGACTTCGGTTCTGTTTAAGAGCCAAGCTGCCCGAGCCAGCACTACCGGCTTCGGGCAGCCCCCTTGCCTCCGGACCCCAGCCGCCGGCTGGGCACTTCCCTTCCCAGGATCCAGCTGCTCTGCTCCGGCGGCGCAGGGTCCGGAGGCAAGGGGGCTGCCGGAAGACGGTAGCACTCGGACAGCTCGGCTCTTAAACAGAGACGAAGAGTCAGGGGAGGAGCAGAGCAGCTGGAGCCCGGGATGGGAAGTGCCCGGCCGGGGGCGCAGGGTCCGGAGGCATAGGGGCTGCCCAAAGCCCGAGCGCTACCGGCTTCGTGGTTTGCCGGGCAGCCTCCAGACCCTGCGCCCCCGGCTGGGCGCTTCCCCTCCCGGGCTCCAGCTGCGCTGGGG